GTGACTTTTGATGTAAGAAAACTTCCTGATTTTTGTGTTCTTACGATTTATGGTATGTGTTAGAATGTGTTAAAAATTTTGCTCGACAGAGTTATGCGAGTGTTAATTAATGATATTCCACGAACTGTATTATTTTTTTAAAGTATTTCCGATTTCTTAAGTGAATTTATGCATTTCATCGGGTATTTTTGCAGTTTTCCTATCAGATAGCACGGATGATTCGCGACAAAGAGCGGGAAAAGCAGCGGTCTGAGCAGCGGGCTTTAAGAGAAGCAAAACGTGTCTGCGCGCTTATCGCTAAAATGGTTCGAGATTTTTGGCAGAATGTCGAGAAAGTTGTCGATTTACGAATACAGGTGAGTTACATTCATTGTTTTAGTGAAAGAAAAAAGAACACAGTTGCATACATATTCGCGTTCAGCTGTTAGATACTTGCACTACTTGTAGTAGGCTAGTCTGGCTTTGTTAACATGTAGGCTCGAAGTATATACAGATGGAATGCCAAAACTTCCTGACAATTGGTTTGGGCATCCCATATTAGTAGAATGTTTCGTGCTTCTGCTGCTGTGCGTCCTTTTTTGGCCTTGAGCTTTGGCTGAATAGTTTTCGTTTTTCAGGAAGTAATAGAAGGAATGAAGAGAAAAGCATTGGACCAACAGCTTGAAATGATGGTAGGCCATGCCGACAAACTAAGCGAGATGGTGCAGGAAGGTTTGATCGGCGGAGACGCAGCCAGCAGGGCATCCTCATCGATGCGCAGCGTTGTCGACAACAAAGGTTCGTTCAGTGAATAGAAATATTAGTCATGATATATGTAAAAATACAAAATTATATTAAATAAGTGGAAGAGCGGAAGTGTTTTGGTACCACAACTGATTTTCCCGTCCAGCGTCACAAATGGAGCTCGTCGGTGCGGCAGTTGTACTGTTAATAAAATAAATAAACGGAATTTATTTGTATAAATCAGTTGGGCATAATTCAAAAAAGTGAGAAAGAATTTAATTTCAAAAAATAGAAAAAAAAGAGGATGAGGAACCAAAAGGACGACGGATAGGTAAGCATAACAGTAATTTTCTATATTTAAATATGTGTGAGTAAGCAAATAAACACGATAAAAATCCTATATATATTATACATGTATAGAATTATGTATGTGTAGAATTATATATGTATGGAATAAAAATTCTATATTTTATATGTATCATAACGTTGTGAATTTGTCCTCATCTTACTTTGTGCACATTTTTGTTTGCTACCCATTCGCTTGTCTGGTTTATTTCCTTTTGCTTGAATTGTTTAAGCAATTTTTAAGAGATTTTTCGCATGTTTTAGACGACAACGCACTTCTGGTTTTATTTGAAAACAGTTTTCATATTTTTGTCTCATTCATGTATTGTGAGTTAGTAATATCTTATTGTAGAAACTTGTGAGGGCGCAAACATCCTGCTGTGCGAATAGTCTCTGCATATAGCGCAATTTCTGTGGCTTTTTGCATAAAATTCCTGACTTGGTTTTGAAATTTAGCATTTTTTTCGAGCATTTTTTTCTATTTTGTTATAGATGAGGGTAGTAGTGTTTCGAGCGGTTCTGATGATGATATGTCAATTTCGGATATCGAAATGACCGAGGGTAATGTAAAGGAAGAAATGGAAGGATTGATGGCTGAAGGCAATCTAGAACTCGATGATTTACTCGATTCGGTATGTTTTATGCCAATTAATCTTGTCGAAAACTGTTGGAAGCATTACTGTGCCTGAACAGCTGATTGGAAATCGAGGAAGTCAGCACAGTTTAGATCTTAAATAAATTGCGAAGCAACCCGTCTTCAGTGGGACGAGGGACTTTTGAGGCAAGTTCGGCCACACGACATTGAACCCAAGTACATAAAGTCATAGGTAGTAATCATTTTCGATGATGATTGCCTATTTCATGGAATGTGTAAGGTGCTTATCCAAAGGCATTTTCAAATGCTGCTTTGCGTTACTGTTTGTTAAAAGTTAGAAAGGCATGGAGGAAACATTGTTAGTTTCAGCTTCCGCCTGGTTATCTGGAAGGTATTTCGAAATCAACCAGTAAAATTCGTGGTTTGCCGTGTGCTGCTGGCAGCATATTAGCAGACGGGAAACGCCATGACGAAAGCGAGGCTTCTACAGATTATGCAACTTCCGAAGTCACTCAAGGTACCGCACTTTTGCGCCTACTTCTGACTTCTTACTACGATTGAATGTGTACTATCGTAGGGCCATGTGTATATTTATTGGGTGTCTCGAAATTGCAGGACGGATTTTTTTTTTTTGTTCTTTAATATCTACTAGTTCGATTATAAGCCAAGTGTGGCCACTTTTTTTTTGTTGTAATTGTTTCATGTTCATTCTTGGCGGTTTTTTCTGCATAATTTGTGGCTTGCCTAATCGTCTTATTGTTTTTTTGCCTTCAAGGTGATATTTGCCTCAAGTCTACAGTTAAGGTAATGAAGCCTAGCTTAATCATTAGCACTAATTTTCGGTAGGACCGCATTTTTGTAAGATTGACCGAAATTGATTGTACAAGTGGCATAGGCATTGCGTCCCACCTGGTAACTCTGCTGGTTAATTTTAGACTATACTATTTCTGTGTTCAAATGCGCAGTCTTATTTTTTATGCGTTTTGTGCTGTGTAACAGTAGTACAAAACGCATATTGTCACGGGATTGTCTGTGTGTGTATGTCCGCAACTTTCAACTCGGGAATCACAAAAGCTAGGAAGCTGAAAATGTTGGGGAACGTTCCCCACCCACATATGACCGCGCAAATTTAAATTCAGCTTCCCCGTACCCGCGGGTAACGCGTACGGCCCCGTGAAAGTTTTTGACTGGTAAGTTAATATCTCGGGAACCACGGAGTCTAGGAGACTGAAATTTTAGGGTAATGACCCACTGC